AGTGCCATTGTCGCACTGTTTCTCTCTCCATCGCGAGGCTGTATTGGGTCAGCCCGCTCGGTGAAGAAAGCAAGCAAGCATTATTTGAACGTTTGTTGCTCGGGTTTCACAAGCTGACCGACCAAAGGCCTTGAAGGTTAAGGCGCCCTGTTAGATTTTTCAAGGGCGGCGCTCGGTGGAAGATACCGTACCTTTGCGCGTTGGTTTGTCTCTCGAAAATCGCTTGACAGAATGGCAAAGTGGTAGAGTGTTTCTGACAGGCGTGACGCCAAGCGGGAAGGATCCATGCGCCAAGATCGTCGTCCAACAAGATCACGGACGATGCGATGGCTCCGACTCCGACTCCCACCTTCTAAGTTACTGAGTATCTTCCTCCTCGGCTGCCGGGAATCGATCTTTCGGCGGGCCGGCTTGTCCGTCCGTCCCAATTGATTAGGCCACTGGGTCTTTAGTCGACCCCGTTGTAGTGTCACAGCCCACGAGGCTGAAGGTTACTAGCCCACCCAGAACTCACACTCTCACGGCTAAATCCTCTATTTAGAGAGAGGGGGGGCTTTTGCCGGTTTGAAAACAGATTTTCTACTGATTTGCGTGCGTAAGTGGCGTTTGATCTGTTTCTCGTATGATCGGCGTGGTGTGGTGCTGATTTGCATACTTACAAAGGCACGGAGGCGTTGCGATCAAGGTGACTTTCGGGTTTGAGTTACATGTCCGGCAGCATACCAGCACAACCTCACTGCTGCTGCAGATGACAACATTGTTGCAGATTACGAGGCAGATGCAAGTATATTGGCAATCTCCAGTTTTGTACTCCGTACATGGCAGACAATTGCTGCAGCGTGCAAAATTTCATCTCGGCGTTCCGACAACCCGGCTAGGTTGAGCACTAAACTGGATAAGACCCGAGCATATGAAGCGATAAGCTAAAGTGCCACGAAGGGAAAAGCGTCACCTGTTGTATGCACGCACTCGAAGGAGGTTAATATACGATCTTGGCATTTGGGCTTGGCGAATGAAACAATGGCCGCGGCTTTGCGCACTTCTCCGTGGAGCATTGGTGGCTTGCAGGCTTGAAAGGGCCGGGCCTCCTGGCGCCTCCCGCTCTTTCTTTCCAAGTTCTGCGCGGAAGTTGCCCGGATGGAGAACAGTCTCCTTTCTCGGGTACGGAGGTCCTGCACCCGTGCAGTTCACTTGAGGCCTCTAGCAATTGAGAAGCATGTTCGAGGAGATTCAAGCACCGTGGTGAGCAATGGCATTCCTGAATCTGACCCCCATGCTCGGAAATAGATGTCCAGGCCAAGTCTTCACGGTAGCAGTCCCGAGAAAACACATGCCGATCCACTCCATGGAGAAATTTGCTGGGCGGTCAGTGCTCACCTCGAGGCAAACGCTGATAGGCCGTTCTCCACGACTTAATAACGCAACTTTCCAACTTGTTGCGCGGTGCGGGGCTGTCTACAGCGACCACTCGACCCTAAAGCCTCGAGTCGGTTCCACATACGGATATTGGTCCACGAAATCCTGCAGCCTTCAGTTGAGGCTCTACAAAGTGAAACACTCTTCGGTAGGCACCCCTCGATACAGCAAAAGAACGTATCCTAATTGAGCTTTAGTGCTTACGGAGGGCTGTGTTGGCGTACGCAACCCAAGAAATCCTAGTCTATGTGGCTGACTACTATAGGCCAGTTTGCCAATGTCACGTTACGCATAATTGCACGTGCTATAGATTCTGACCGGGCAGGTATTGATTGCCTCGAACAACTGGAATGTTCTATGTCCAGGGCAAGCGAGCCTAGACAGGTAGTTAAGTGTCGTGCTTATGCCGTTTGGAGTACACGAGAACGCAACCACTCACGCATGGGGTCGAGCATGTCGATCGCGACTTAAGCTTTACTGCAGGTTCGCCGAGGTGACTGCTCAAGATGCTAGATTTCAATGTGCTTTCTGACTGTGAGTACTTATGCATTCGTACGTATAATTCGGGTCCCAAATCCACCCTCTTTGGCCCGTGGTGCTAACTGATACACACTGCCTGTCAGTTTAGGCTAGTGTCTTGTCGGAAAGTGGGTCCGACCATATGATAAAGTGGTTAACCTCCAGAAAGGCTAGCATTGCGACTAGACACCTAGGATTGAGTCTAACGTGCTGTATTTCGCAGAACCGTCGGGACAGACCGACGGAGTCATATTGGGCTACGAGCAGTCCAGCCTGGCCAGGCATCGAATCTCTGCGGGTAAATATCCCGGGTAAATGGGTTGATACTACACTACTACTAATAGTTTACTAGGTAGTCAATCATGGTTTCCCAGAACCACAGAACCACCCAATATCCCTCCGCGCAAGGTTACAACCACAAGCGCCTCCCCCCTCTTTCCGGTGGTCTTTTGTGCGAGAAGCGATAACGTTCTCTTCCTTCCAACTTTAGCGATGTTAAGGTGGTATTCGTCAGCCCTCGCGTGTCAAGGTAAATTCTACGCCGCTGGCCCCTATTGGGGCGAGATCAAGCCACTACGAGACTAATCCACGCACGTTGCACACTAGTCTCGAAGGTTAATCAGAGCCTTAATCTAACTTGCTAAGTACGAGGCTCCAAACTAGCCCGCAAGATACGATAAGTGAACAAGGTAAGCAGCCGTTGATCTGTCAGACTGTCACCATCTGCGTTAGACCTAACCATGTGGCGATCCAGTAACGAGGTTCGCGCACCGTTGACAGCTAATTTTGGAAAGGGGTGAGGATTGCACTGCAGTTGGTAAGATTAAGCGAAATTAGACTTCTGGATCCTCCTTCAACTTCATCTCGCACACTCAATCTGGCCCTGAGGCTCAGTTGTTGGCGGAAGAAAGAATGCACCAATCACAGAACCTCCGAATGGCGACAGTCAGCCGTGTCCTTTTTGTCATGCCTCTGTGTAGGGAATTGACTTATCTTATGTTCATTTCATCTAGGATGCCGCTCTTCCTGTTGATCGAAGGTGAAGTGCTCAACATCTTAACACCATCGCGAATGTCTCTCACCGAAGCTATGATAGTCGGAAGGAACCGGAACTCCATTCATTCCCAACCTGCTGCGATCTCGTATGCAGAAGCGAGCACAGGCTTTCTGCGTCACCATCCCCACAACTTGCGCAGTGTCACCTCAAGAGTCTAGGTGTCGCTGGCGGGTCTCTCGAATCTTGATGCCAGTCTGCGGATCTCCTTGACAACGGTTCGGCCCGATCCGGCCTTGTGCGACTTCCATTCAGGTTTGTATCGCTGCGCGATAGAAATGAGGACTCGTGCTTGGTGACTGGTATGCCATGCCAGTCAAAAGAGCCAGTTGTTCAGTTTCCAGTCATCGATCCTGGTGGTGGAGGTTTCGCGTCTAGCGGGCGCCATAGTATTATTCAGATAAGGTAACTAGGTCGGTCGCAACGGCAAGCATCGCAGCGTGCATAAATCCACGCTACTCTTAGTAAGTAGTACGTACATGAAGCAGTACGTACTTAGTATTTACAGCAAGGTGCTAGTCTGCAAGAAGAATAGCATTAGCGAACTGGCCAATGAGAGACTTGATAGGTCTTGATATTGTGGAAACTGCTTTCTCAACAACTTTCAAGGTGGACCGGTGGATGCGTAGGGTACGAAGGAATGAAAATAGCAAGGCCCTTCCGGTCGTCCGCAGATTGTAGCCGATTGTCGTTCCCTTTATTGTTCCCTCCTACGACGGAGCATTGCGAGGTAGGAGAAAAGTGTAAGTCTGTCTCTGAGCGTGTTTCTGCTACCACGGAACATCCACTACCACGGGAAGTTCACTGCCAGCGGTTTTTGGGGGCGTAACTTGACTTTCTTGAGTAGGGATATGACGAAGGTGTGGTTTGAAGATGCACAGCATGAGACAATCATGAGCTCCTTCCGCCTCCTGGAACCACCGCTCCACCGCTGATATAATCACATGCCTACTTCATCTCTGTAGTACTGAGGTGTGCGTATTTACTTACTTAGCTCGTACATAGTTGTACTCGTTTGTACTACTAATACCAGTGAGGCAGCCCAACCCAGCACGTGCTCTAGTTCTAGATCTCAATCGGTGTTACCGAACCCCCCCCCTCCCGACCGTTCCACCTTTTTGTCTCATATATTCAAGGTTGTGAATCCTCCGACTCTGACCCGCCAGTCCAGCTAGATACTTATGCCCTGGCCATGCTTGGCAATGGGTACTTGCTCGTATTTCCGCCGATCCCTGTCCCATCGGGCTGCCTTGCTTCTGCTTTGGGGACCTTCTGGTTGCCCTTTCGTCCTTTTCGTCCTTTTCGTTTGCGCATAGATGGCTTATCCGTACAGTCATCAATATTAATGCTGATTCACCGTGGCAATGAGGCTGTTGTCGGGTTGTTGAAAGACCCGGCTTGGCGGTGCACCAGCGGATAGGCTGTTATCATGGAGTACCAAAAAGGTTGTTCATTTACCACGAAGTCATAAATATCCCTTTCGCTGATTGACTGATTGACTGGTTGGCACACAGCATTGGTTTGAATTGATGGCAGGTTCTGTTCACTCACAACCATTGAACTAAATAGTAGCTGTGATTGGAGTAGCAGGCGCTGCCAGCTTGAGAAGATCGACAAGGTACTGTGATCCCTCCATCCTTTCTACGAATGGGACTAACTAGCCCTGTCTTCAAAGTAAGTTGTTTTCATTATAAGCTAGCTGCCAGAGTCAATTATGATTAGGTCGTCCCGGAAAATGATTCTCAATTCAGCCCGAAACAAGTCCGAGAGTTCAACGAGGAAAGCACTTGGTCCAACAATTCCACGTGTGGAATGCCAGAACGGCCCCTTCGGCCGGTGTGAAGGGCTACATGAGCTATCAGTAAGGGAGTACTAGGTACAGTACAATGCACACTAGATGGGAAAGCACAGATGTATCAACTACCGTCTAGTGCAAGTTGTGGTGCATGGGGCGGCCCACCGTGACGTTTACCATTCAGCATCCCCCCACCATCCAACCCCCTCCCCCTCCTTATCGTGCAGCTCTTCAGGAATCGGTCTACCCACCCATCTAGGATTGCGGATGGGTCACGTAAATGCAGTCGCTCACTCAGCTCTAGTCAAGCTGATTCCGCAATCCGGGGGTCTCCTGATAATGATTGCCGTGCCACGCGGAAGTCGACCTCCACTACAGTTTGACATGCTGACAACGTCTCACTTCAGGAAGACAATTGGCCTTTTTACTGCGGTACAGTGAAATCGCGCCTTTCTTCAGGATGTTGATCTACAAATCCTTTACCTTTTCACGAGTACCTCAAGACAGAGGGATTGACAGGTGACTCACCCACCTGAAGTAAGGCGTGGGTGGCATGGAGCGACTGATCCTTCCACCCTCGAACTCGCCTTGGCCACCATCTGATCGAGCCTCCGCCCACCGTACCAACCACACAATCGCTGCATACACCGGCGGGGCGGCAAGTCTTGGGTTGAGACGATGTACAAGGGGCCTTGACTGGGTTATCGAGCCATATGGCTCCTGCCACACGGGGTCCTTGAGTAGGTAGTCGTGGAGGATGCCCGGTGTTTACCGCCAGTAGTCCGATTAACCACCGCATGTTTGTGAACGGGGACAAATAAAGGCTGTCTCCGATTGACCTCGTTATTCCCTATGTATGCAGTCAATAAATAATATGGTTTAGGACATTCCATGGAAGCCATGAGGCTAGTGCTGACAGGATGGATTTACCTGTAGGTAAGACAGACGCTAGAACAAGTTCGGAGTTGGCAAAGTCCGAGTTGGTGAATCGGCGGGTTGGTGGGCTGCCCCCCGTTCCCCTCCGGTTAGTACCTAGCCTGTAGTCTACTACCTACCGACTCTGACTCTAGCCTAACTGTAGTTTAGTCGGCCGCCTGGAAACTCGCCCGCAATCCCAATCTTACCACCTCCACTACTTTCTTTCCCTTTCACAACCAAACAACTCCTCCTCCTTCTCGATGTCTTCTTGATGATCAACATCATCCTTTCCTTTCCTCTCTTTCGACTAGATACTGTGATCTGATTTCTTATTTTCTCTTTTTGTATACTGTGCGAAGGAATTCCCCCGGCGAAACATAAAACGCCACTCAACCGGTCAAATGGCCTCGACAACTAACAGTATAAATGGCGAGGCTGTGGCCGACCCCGTCCCTATCGCCGTAGATCACGACTCGCCTCAGGAAGACACCTACCCTGCTCCCTACGGTCGCTCTTGCTTTAACTGCTCTCAGGCCAAGTGCAAGTGTATCTATCCAAAGGCAGGCGGTCGTTGCCAGAGGTCAGCTTAATTTATCCCATTCGCCGACCTCGTGCATACATGCATCTGTTTGTTCAAAGGTGGTGGCATTAACCATCCTCTTTCCTTCAGATGCCAACGCTTGGATAAAGAATGTCGCCAATCCGCTGCCAGTCGACGTTCAACAACCACGCGCAGGTCGGTTACCTCTTCCAAAAGCTCGGCCAAGATCTCTCGCCTGGAAGACAAATTGGAGGATTTGGTCTCGCTGCTGCGCGCGGGAGTCCAACCGAATAATGTCACGACCACCACCATGCTCGGCCTGCTCGGACAGCTGCCGGACAACCAGAACTCGTCAAACAGCAACGCCGCATCCCCTCCCAACATGTCCGACATCCCCATGGGCAGCAGCTCCGGGCCCAGCCCAGTCTACGCCAGCCGCAACACCGGTTCCGCTTCCACCCCGGACACTAGCATTTCGGACAGCGGGGGCTCGTTATCTTCGGGCGCATCGTCACTGAACGCGATGGAGCCGTCGGGCTTGCAAGCAGAGGAATTACTCACATTCTTCCAAACTCAAATGCTTCCTTATTTCCCATGCATGTATATCCCTCCAGGCACCACGTCGCAGAAGCTTCGGCGAGACCGCCCGTTTTCGTGGCTGTGCATCATGGCTGTCACGTCCCGGAGCAGCGCGCAAAGTCGCCCGCTCTTCGATAGAATCAAGCACATTGTGTCACAGAAGCTGGTGCATGAGTACTCGTGTCGTGACCTTGACATCCTCCAGGGACTCTTGATCTACCTCGGATGGTAAGGCACCCCGCCTCAGGCCGGGTTTATGGGTGGCTGACCTCGATTGGCTCAGGTCCAATCAGCAAGTTTACAATAAAGCCAACGTGCATGTATTCACTCAGCTCGCGAACGGCATTGTCTATGAGATGGGTCTCTTCAATCCCGAAGCAAAGGGGAAGCACGTACTCTTGTGTGTACACACGGAAGCACACGAGGACCGCGCAGCACCTCCCAGTCAGATCATGGAACAACGCCGGGCTGTCCTGGGATGCTTCCTGCTCACTTCAATGTATGCTATCGCCCTTCCTACTGTTGATGCTATATGCTAACATCGAATCTAGCATTGCTACCTTCTTACAACAAAGCGACTCCCTGCGCTGGACATCTTACATGGACGAGTGTCTCCGTCTACTCGAAGAGCAGCAGGAAAGCATCAACGATGAGATTCTCGTTCAACAAGTACGACTTCAGTTGATCAATGACAAGCTTAGTCTGGGGGGCTTCTATGGGGCGTCCTCTACATCCAGGGAGTCGATGCGACCGTCGCCTGCTGTGTATATCCGGCCGATGCAAGCTCAGCTTCAGACTCAACTTCAGGGAATTATGAGTAGAGTCCGACCCAACTCACAGGGATACAGTCAGTAACCGTTAGATCTCTGAGATTTGGATCGATCACTGACTATCTGGTCCAGAGATTCTTCTACTGCATCACTACAACACCTCATTAAGCCTTTACGAGTCTGCTCTTACGAAAGGTGCCATTGCCTCCATCACAAACGTGAGCTACGAACATCTCGACTATCTTTATGGTTGCCTTGAGGCTACCAAGTCGTGGTTCGACGTGTTCCTGAGCATTCCACCGGCGGAGTATATTGGGTTTCCTTTCGCTATATTCTCGCAGATGGTGCAGAACCTTGTGACACTCTACCAACTGACGACCCTGGACAACTCCGTTTGGGACACGACCAATGTCCGCCGAACGGCAGATATCATACAGATCATGAACATGGTGATATCCAATATGGGTCAAGTGGCGTCTCTCAATGGTATTGACGGTGATCCTGGTGGCGACATCTTTTCAAACATTGCCAAGACGTATCAGGCCGTACGCATGGGCTGGGAGACCAAGCTGGATCCCACTCCGCTGGGCTCACACGCGGCAAATTCGATTCCGTCGCTGTCGGTCCCAGCGCTCTCAGAGCCTCCGGATGCCCTGTCGGTGTCAGACACCTTTCCTCTGGTCGATGATAACGACTGGCTCGCGGACATGCTGAGTACGATGGACAGGAACAACAAAGGCCCAATGGCTGCCATTCCCGGCGTCCCAGGCGTACCATGAGGCATGATGTGACTGCAACCGATCCCAAGTTGCCTCTCATCTGAAGGCATCCCATTATACGCACGGTCCGAGGTGGCGTGATGGGCTGAAGCCAGGCAATAGTAGGCCTCCGCTCCATCCTCATTTAGAGACCCCGCTGTCTCTACTCACGGGCTTCAACAGCGACCTTTCCCTACAAGGCAGACTATGCCGAGTTGGACGGCGTTATAGTCGAGGAGACTTCGTGTCGCCGGGACTTCTCGATTCGACGTCTATGATTTTCATGAAGATACTGTAATAATTGATCGGACCTGACATACCAGGGCTAGATTTGTTGGCGCGGAGGTTCCCTTTTATTTCGTCCTTGCTCCTTGAAAATTTGGCATCTGGCTTAGATTCCCCTTGTGCTTGTGGATGTGTATCTTAGCGTTCGTCGGGTAGCTATTGGATAACTAGACTTTGGTATCAATTATGATCAATCACTATCGGCGGCTTGCTGACTACCAGGTGGCTGGCAGTTTTGGGCCTTGGTTACTCGTGCTGAGTAGCCATGGAAAGAATATAGACATCAGGGTCATAGTTCTAGTTTATCTGGCAACCTTGGTGAGTCGGAGAGCCACATTCCAAAAGGTCTAGTAAAAATAGACAGAGAGTCAATCTACACACTATTGACGACTGTTTCTCAGACTCGGTGGTTTCGACTTCCCTGTGAAGTCTCACAGACTGTATTGCTATAGAGGCTATTGGATCCTTGCCTTTTCGTCTCTCCATGTCCTAGAAGAATACTCCGGGCAGTGGTTGAGGAATTACGCTCCAGCGGAATGGTAGGTATACAGTTGTCCAGGGCCACAAGAATACATAGACCATTCCACCTCTTGCTCAGCACTTCCCAGCAAAAGTACACTCCGCCGTCTCTGCTCGACAGGAATACGCCTCCATATTACCCCAGAGAACTTCCGGGCTCCTGTGAGAAGAAGATGGATGGAGTATCTGTCTGTGTATGTACAGTATGCGTCTTCCGTCTCGGCTACTTATATCTACTTCGTGGTGGTAGAGATAAGGCACAACACGGCACAGTAAATGATGTCAGGGTTCACATGGGCATACATAGACATTGAAGAAAGAAAAATGGCATGCGATGAGAGGGATAGTTGATTGTTGTAAGCTCGTGGCATCTCCCTTGGTGTGGATTGCTTGATGCTTCGTGGCGTAGAATTGGGCTCTGGTTTTTTGTTGAGGGGTATAGGTTATGGGATTGATGTAGTGGATGCGTCTGGTTGTCTTCTGGTTCATGATGGGGGTGTTGTACGATGACGTGATGGGAGGTACGTCAGGGATTGAGAGGGCAGTTGGCGAGCAGGGTTTACTCATTCCACCGATTTGGTTTGGTGTTCGATGATGCCGCTCAGTATACGAGCCGGGTGTGGTTGGGTTTACTAGCTCGTGGGTGCAACTCCGTCGACCACGTGGCGCTGATGCGAGATTGACAGTTTGATGCCGTCGATCATAAAGAACTCTACATAGAGAAAGAAAAAACGGTAGGCAGGTAGGGGGGTTCGTGCATACATGCCACTCGATGCGACAGAAAGACAAAAACACAAAATGAAGAAGACACATGCACCCGATGGGGATTGAACCCATGACCTTCGCATTACAAGTGCGACGCTACTACCACTGAGCCACGAGTGCATCTGTGGCGAATTGGCTGCCGAGTGCGGTTGATACAGCATCCACCGAGCAGAAGGGGAAGAAAATATTGATGCCGGGGTGCTTCGCAAAAACAACTCCGCAGGAAGTTGGTGATCCCAATGCACCGAATGGGGTTTGAACCCACGACCTTCGCATTACGAGTGCGACGCTCTACCACTGAGCCACCGGTGCTTGTATGACTAATACCCTC